GGCCTCAGAGAAAGCGCCAGAGTCTTTAGTCGGCTTCCAGGGCTGCGCAGGGAGGCGACAGCTGACGCATTGCGCCAGCAACCCAGTTTCCCGGACCTGGGAACGCGGGCAGCACGCATTAGTGTTCGGGGTGGGGTGTGGGGGACTCCGGCTCTTTCTGGAAGCATCTAGGCATTGCCTGTGTAGGAGTTCAGGTCCAAAAGCCCATCTCCAGTTGTCCCCCTGGAGGGCACCCCACTCCCATCACCGCCGAAGGGGACCAAAAGGGTTTCAGGTGGCAGTGCTGGGGGACCCTCCTTGGCCCTGCGCCCCACGGCTGTCTAGCAGGGAGACTGCAGGGGGACACCGGTGGCTTTGACCTTGGCGGGGAGCCGACACCGTGACTCATTTTCTTCATCCGTCCATGAGACCATCGGACTGGATGTTCTGGACGAGTTCTTCAGGGCCTGAATCAAGTTTCTCCTCCACTCCCTCCCTCCCCCTCACTGCCGGCTCCTCCGCAGTCTGGAGGTTGCAGGCGCGGGGTGTGTATGGCACCAGATTTTTGCTTGACCAGATTTAGGCTCCTGAACCTTTTCCTGGGAATCCAGTGTTAGCCGGAGCCCCCACCTCCCTTATCGCTCAAGGCCCCCGCACTCTAGGTGCTGTGGGGTCGCCCCGACCCGCCTTCAGCCAGAACTGCACTAGATGGCTTTAGACTGAACCCCCGACCCTGCGTGTTTCCTCCTAAACACTTTCCAGTCGCCCTCACCCTGCTCCCCGCTAGACCTTCCCTCTGGCCCACATTACATGAGCGCCTCCCCCCACCCCAATCCAGCGGTGGGGCTGTACCTGTCTCCAGCCTCCTGAATAAAACTGCTTTAATGGAGGTCACTGAATAATCTCGTTTGTCCGTGTGTGTGCTAAACTGGAGTTTGAACCCAGGACCTCCATGCTGAGCAACATCCCCAGCCCCTTTACACATTTTTTTTTTAATGTGTTTTATTCTCAGAGACATAGATCTTTTGCAAATAGAAAAGGGACCAAGAGATAGAGGAGGGAGGAAAGAGGCGATGTAAAAAGGAATTAAGATGTTTTATGAACATAGACCAACACCCCATGATGAATGTACTCATTATGTACTGCAAATATGTACTAGTAAGAATTAAAAAATAAAAAGCCAATATAATACTTTAATGAAGGTCTTGGCAAGTAAAAAAGCCTTCAGTAAATACAAGCTGTTTTTTTTTCTGTAAAAAAAGAAGAATAAAAAAGGAGCCAGATATGATGGTACATGTTATAATTGTACTACTTGGGAGGCTGAGGTAGGAAGATCAATTCGAGTTGAGGCCAACCTGATGATCTATATAGTGAGTTCAAGACCAGCCTGGCATACATAGGGAGTCTTTCTCAAAAACAGAGCAAAAAAAAAAAAAAAAAAAAAAAAAAGCCGGCAATAAAAAAAAAAAAAAAAAAAAAAAAAGAGGAACTCAGTTGCTTAGTATAAAAAAAATTTTTTGGGGGGCTGGGGATTTAGCTCAGTGGCATAAGCACCTGCCTTGCAAGTGTGTGGTCATGAGTTCGATCCCTGGAACCAATAAAGAAAAAGACAAACAAACAAACAAAAAAAAAAAATTTTTTTTAAAAATCGGTACCAGGGACTGAACTCACGACTGCCTGCTTGCAAGGCAGGAGCTTATGCCACTGAGCTAAATCCCCAAACCCTGAAAAAACATTTTTTAAAAGACAGAATCTTGCTAAGTTACTAAACTGCCCAGGCTGGGCTTGAACTTCTTGTCCTCCTACTCAGTGGAGGTGGAGATAAGGATGAGGGAAAGACACAAAGACTCTTGACACAAAATGTGGATTCTCTACTCCCTGTTGCTCAGGGAAAGTGAAGAAGCCAGGCATGGTGGGGCAGGCCTGTAATGCCAGCATTTGGAAGGCTGAGGCAGGAGGATTGCCGCAAGTTGGAGGCCAGGCTGGGGTACATGGTGAGTTTAAATCCAGCCAGAACTGTGAGGTAAAGACGCTGTCTCAAACACAACAACAAAAAGAGTAAGGTGAAGAAAAGGGAGATGCGGTGGATAGAGCAGGAGTCCCCTCAGAGCTCATAGGAGGTAAGAGTCCTGGCCTAAGATGGATTTGGGGGTCCATTGTAAGAGAGCATCAGAAAGCAGGCAGGTGGCAATGGCGGTGGGTGACCCTGAGCTGAGGCACTTTGTCTCTTGGGCCTCCTAAGTGGAGGGCTTCGGCCAGCAACAGGGCCTGTTCACTGGACACACCCTCTGCTGAGGGAGGCCAGCTGGCTGCCAGGGGCTTTAGAAGCATGAGGGGGTGGGCTCCAGCTGGGCACCCCAACTGGGCATGTGCACTTGTGGCTCAGGGTTTGGGGCTGTAGGAAACTGAAGAAGAAAGAAAAGCTGAGGGGGCTGGGGATTAAAAAAAAGAAAGAAAGAAAGAAAGAAAGGAAGGAAGAAAGAAAGAAAGAAAAGCTGAGTGCGGTGATGCACCCCAGTAGTCTCAGCACTCTGGGAGGCTGAGGCAGGAGGGTTGAAAGTTGGAGCCCAGCTAGGGCAATTTAGGCAAACTCTGCCTCAAAATTTAAAAAACAAACAAACAAAAAAAGCCAGAGGTGTAGCTCAGTGTGAAGCTTTGGGTTCAACCCGTAGAACTGGGGAAAGGGAAAGGAGAAGGGGAGCAGGGAGAGAAGAGGGGGTGAGGAGGAGGATAGAAAGCAGGACAGAAGAGGAACAAGGTTCAGCCCGGAAGCCTCTCCAGAGCTGCGTGTGCCAGGAGGGGAAGGCCAGTGGCTCCCTGTGGGCCATGGGAGGAGTGACCCAGGGAGGGACCGCTGTACACACACCTGCAGAGCCTCTAGAACAAAGTGCCCACCACCGTGCTGCGAGGCTGCCCCGCCCTCTCCGGGCGCTGAAGCGGGATTGGGTTTGGTGTTTCCTGTTTTGGTGGCTGCAGAGTTAATCTGAGCCTCAGGCTGTGGGAGGCCCCGGGTCTGGTTTCCTCCTCGTCCTTCCGTGGGCAGCAGGCAACTCTTCTTTAGGTTGCCAGGGTGGGTGCCAAGGACCTGGCCTGAGGCCTCCAGCCTGGGTTGAGCCCTCCTCTCCGCTTTGTCTGGAGCCCCTTACCTCCGCAGCGGGCATATTTCTTACCCTCTGTCGCCTCCTAGTGTTCGCTCGCTGCCACCATGCCTGGCCTTTGATCCCAGGCGTCTTCCCCGCGCTTGCTTCTGGAATTGTTCCTTCCCTGGCTCACTCATTTATTTATTCAACAAACATTTCAAAGGAGCTTATATGGGGAATATGACAGAAATTTAGAATTTTAAATATTTGGGACAAGAGCCTAGGGCCCAAGCTGGGCGTGGTGGTGCATGCCTGTACAATCTCAGCACTCCCAGAGACTGAGGCAGGATGATCTTGAGTTTGAGCCCAGCCTGGACAAGTTCGTTACCTAACGAGACATTTCAAATAAATAAATAAATTTTAGGTACATATCTCTATTTGGAGGCTCAGGATTCAGTATCCAGTATTGAAGGGGGGGGGGGAAGCCTTGGGTCCTAAAAACAGGTCCCGAGAGAGGAATATCCACTGCAGGAATAGCCACAGGCAGGAAGGCTCCGTGGAGGAGGAGGAGGTAGCTAAGATGGGTTCTGGCAATGTGCTTACCTGAACCCATGAGGGGAGGAGCCAGAGGTAAGACAAGGGCAATGAGGTTGGAGGATGGTAAATTCCACGGAGATCACTTAGAATTTACCAGAGGGACTGGTCATAGACTTAAGGGTCCCCAAGAAAGGAGTCCTGTGTCATTCATTCAGGACTGTGATGTCACAGCCAGGCACATAGTAGATAGTTAAGAAGTGTTTTGTCGTTGCTGGGTGTAGTGGTGCATGCCTGTGGCCCCAGCTTTCAGGAGGCTGATGCAGGAGCATCTCCAAGAGTTTGAGGCCAGCCTGGGCTACACAGGTAGTTCAAGGACAGCCTGAACTATGTAGTGAGAACTTATCTCAAAAAACCAGAAAAAAAAAGTGTTTGTGGGATCAGTGAATAAATGGGCAGAGGTGCATTTTAGAAATGGCATGGAGCCAGGTGTGGTAGCTCACGCCTGTAATTCCAGTACTCAGGAGGCTGAGGCAGGAGTATCATTGTGAGTTCGAGACTAGCCTAGGCTACAAAGTGAGCTCAAGGCCTGCCTGAACTGCATAGAGACCCTGTCTCAAAAAGATCAAAAAAAAAAAAAAAAAAATGGCAGGGGTGGGTGGAGACAAGATCAAGGCCAGGCGGTTAGGGAAGAGGCCAGCAGAGAGGAAAAGTAGCAGCACCTGTTTGCTGCTGCCTGACTGTGGGACACAGACAGAGTCAAGGTGGACATTGAGGGTGGGGTGTGCTGGCACAGGTGGCAGGGCCTCCCCACCGCATGCTGGGCTCTATGTGAGGTTGAATTTAATGCCAACCTGCCAGTCTGTTTCATGCCCCCACTGTCGGCATGCAGTCCCTAGAGCAGGGCCAAGCCTGAAGCCCAGTAGCCCCACCCTTCTACCCAAGCTGCAGCCCAGCCCTTTCTACTTGGAACAGGGTCTTATTGAATTGCCCTTGAACCTACGATCCTTTTGCCTCAGCCTCCCTTAGAGCTAGGGTTGTGGGAATTCAACGCTGCCTGGCCCAAAGCCTAGTTCTGCTGAACGTGGGTAAAGGGTTAAGGAAATCATCAGGGCTTCTCCAAACATTCTTAGGACCACAAACATGGTAACACCTTGTTTTCATTTTTGGTTTTGTTTTTTGGTGTTGGGGATCACACCCAGGGCCTTTGTGCGGAGCTACGGCCCAGCCCTTTATTTCTCACTTTACCCCAGGGTCTTGCGGAAGTACTCAGGTTGGACTTGAACTTGCCATTTTCCTGAGCAGCTGAGGGGTAGGAGCACTTCTCAGTCCTCAGTATGAAAGGCCCCAGGCTGTCTTACCTGTTCCAATCTCCCCGGGTCCCCACATTCATAGAGAGGCCTGGTCTCACCACCTGCCATCTGGGCACCGAATGTTTATTATAGTCCATGTTTTAATCCGCACCGCGGAGAAAAGGGGAGGGGAAATAGAAGAGGAACCCGGACCAGACCCCTCCCCCCGCCAGGGCCCAGGGCGTCTGCCACATTGGGCAAGGAAGACTTTGTGAGATCCCTGAGGGCCCCAGGATGCGGGGGCTGGGAGCCGCAGAGAGAGTGGGGTCAACAGCTGGCACCACCCCTGCCCTGGGAGCCTGGGCCAACCCGTCCATCATGCCTGTTGGGGCGGCCCTGAAGCCTGTGGCATGCCAGCCTGTGCCTGTGACCCAGTGCTGCTGTTCTCTTCTCCGAGTGCCTCCCATCCCGCCCAGTTCTCTGTGGCCGGCTTGGTCATCCGATTCCACTGTTTTGCCCCACGTCCTCCGCCACCTCCTGGCCAGAACCCCTTGGATCTCAAGGTCAGAGGCACATGAGGTGAATCCCCCTGTCCTCCTGTCATGCTGCAGGCCTGGCTGCGACGGCCTGGGCCCAGGGCATGGTGTGAGAACTGGTGAGATGGGCTCAAGAGAGCTTCCTGGGCTTTGCGGCTGTGGCTTTGGGCAGCCCAGACCGGGATAGGGGAGGGACAGAGGGACCCTCAGCCAGGTCTCCTGCAGCCAGCTCAGAAGAGTGCTATTCCCCAGCCTGGATGGTGACGCACCCATGGTTGGGACTCTGTTCCCTCTGGCTGGGTTGGATGCAGCTTGCTCTACCACCTCCTGGTGTGCCCAGTGGGGGAGGGGAAGTCCCCAGGGCTGGCACCTGCTGAGGTGGGCCCGGGACCACTGAGCGGAGGCGAAGGATTACAGCAGACTGTGAACTCTCGTGCCAATGCCAATGCTAGTGCCCAGCCCAGTGAGTGGGCGTCAAGCAGGAAGTGGGGCAGGGTGCCCCCTGTGTTCGCAAAGGCTCTTTGTTCCCTGGACACGCAGGTGGGTGCGAGCTGGGGTAAGGGTGGGCACCTGTTAGGAGCAGCGCCATCTGGCTCCTCCTCGTGGGCAGGGTGCCCACCCTCAAAGTCCTCCCTGTCCCATCTGCCCTCGTGCCGGCCCAGGAGCTCTTTGTAGGGGGTACAGCTCCCCTCCTCCCCAGTCCCAGCGCTTGGCCTCTTCCTCTGCCAGGCGATCCCCAGGTCTGGCTGGGCTCAGAAGCCCCCGCTTTCAGAGCTGCTTCGGCTGTGGTAGCTTGGACTGGGACTTCGGGAGGGGCTGCGTGAGTGGCTTCGGGTCCCACGACTGCGACTGCTGTAGCTTCCGTGGCTGTGCCCCGGGCTGGGGCTGTGGCTGGGGCTCCGGCTTGAGTAGTCGCTGCTCAGGCAGCTGGAGGAAGAGGAGGGGCTGGGCCGGTAGTAAGGAATGGGACGCTTTCGGGCACTGCCGGGAGGGAAAAGCAGGTTACAGGCCAGCCAAGGCCCTGAGCTCTGCCCAGCCTGGGCCCTCACTCAGACCCTGAGTCCCATCCCAGCAGCAGCCAGAGCCTCCTCCCTCAGTTTCCCTTGAGCCCTGGTCTTGGAGGCACCCAGCTCTCCAAACAGAATTGAGGCACCTGTCAATTCCAATTCCACACTGATCATTTTGTTTGGCTTGTTTTCAGGAAAGGAAACCAAGTCTTTGCTTGGTCTAAGTACCATGTGTGCTTTTGTTGAGCTAATGAAACTCTTCCTCCCTCATACTGGGGACTGAACCCAAAGCTTTTACAATGAGCCACATCTCCATTCCTTTTTGAGAAAGGCTCTTACTGAGTTGCCCAGGCTGGGCTTGAACTTTTGATCCTCCTCCCTCAGCTGCTCAGCCTCACACAGGCCTGTGCCATCATGCTCCGCTTCAGTGACACTTTTTTTTTTTCGGTCTTTTTCCTTTTTATCGTACCGGGGATCGAACTCACGACTGCCTGCTTGCAAGGCAAGCGCTTATGCCGCTGAGCTAAATCTCCAGCCCCTCAGTGACACTTTTAAATATGAATGACTCACATTAACCAAGCTAAGTAGGGACTCAATCCAGGACCTTGCCAGTGATAGGTAAGCACTCTTCCACTGCCGGCACCTCCAGCCTCTTAACAGGGAGGTACTTAGGAACACGGCTCAGCCCTGTTTCTCTGTCCCCACGGAATGGAGGATTTGGGCCTTTCAAGTATCCCAAAGGAAACAAAGGGGAAGCCCCTGGCCACTGCTGCCCATGCCCGAAGCCTGGCCCAGACCCTGGCCCCCCACTCCTCACTCAGCTACCTCCCCCTGGCCCGGAGTTAGTTTGAAGGCAGGAGGCTATGAGCCAGAGAAAAGAGTGGTTAGAGGACTACAACCTCCCATCTCAGGAGGGTTAATTCTGAAGAAGAAAACAGGGGTGCGTTAGTGGGAGGAGGAGGTAGCCTGGGGGAGGGCTGAGGTGGGTGTCGGGTGGAAGACTCGGGATCTGGCTGTCTTTGGGTGGCAGTGTGACCTGTGTGTGTCCTAGGTTCAGTGGCCTGGAGTGGAGAAGGGGACAATACCCTCTTCTCTCTTGAAAACCCCCAATAGCTCAGGACTAGGAAGGCGTATTTTAACAACCAGACACTGTTGGAGGTGAAATGATGCTGGGGACTTCTGCTTGGTAAAGACCAAGGCTCAGAAAGGCACATTGATGATTTCTCCAGGCTGCCCAGCACAACAGCAGAGCTGGACTCAGAAGTTTGCCAATGGCCTCCCCTCACCCTAGGATACTTCCAGACCTCAGGAACATTTGCACAAAGGTGCACCACTATCTCACATAGAGACCCAAGCCCAGACCCTGAAGTCCTAGAAGAGAAGCCTTGATGGTGTGGCTTCTGCCCAAACAGCCCCACCCTGGGCACAGCCCCACTGGGCTGTGTAGGGTTCCTTGGACAGCTGCCCCAGGCCACCCAACTGCTCTGCCCCCTCCTCCAAGTGCCCAGGGGGCTGGGAGGTTAGTGAGGAAAGGAGAGGCAGACAGACGGACAGCTGACCAAAGCCAGACCAGCTCACACGGGCATCTCCCCGGCAGCCTGTGCAGAGGGGTCCACCTGGCCCCCAGGCTGGCCACAGGCCACTCGGCAGGCTGGACCTTGGGATGAAGGAGAAAAGGAGACATCATTGTCCGGGGATGAGGGCGGGAGGGAGGAAAGAAGGGAGGGAGTGAGGACTCCAGAGGGATGGCTGGAATCTTCCGGGGCTGAGTTCCATGCCTGCTGCTGCCCATCCAGACCCAAGGACAGAGTGCCCTCTCCTCCATGGCCTTCAGGTCCCATTGGAGACCTTTCCCTTCCTTACAGTCTCTGATCTCCCAGCCCCCAGGCTTCCCAGTTCTATTTCTCTGTCCCTACTAAGGCCAGTTCTCTTCCCTGATTCCACTTCCTTTCCCTGAAATACTCCCCACCCCAAATCCCCAGCCGGGCGAAACCTCATCCCCTGAGGTCCCTGGTCACCGGACTTCCGTACCTAGTGATGCGCCGCGGCTCCATGAAGCTGGGCGAATCGCGGCGCCGCTTGCGAATGGGGGAGTAGCTACGGGAGCGGCGCCGGGCGCGGGCGGCCTCGGCTTCGGCGTGCCTTGCGCGGCCCTCGGGATCTTTGTCCCTGTGTGAAGTTGGCCCAGTTAAGCTACGCGGCCTGACTCCCTGCTGCGCGTCCTCCACCTGGTTCCCCGCCGTGCGCCCCCTACAGGCCCGGGTCTCCCCCTCCCGCTCCCTCAGTGCTGTCCTCTGTGACGCCTGCGCGGGGAGCGCATGAGCGCGGGGAGGAACGCTCACCGGCTGAGGGGTTTCTTGGGTGACGGCGAGTGGCTGGGGCTGCGGGCCCTCTTCTCCGGGGACCGTGAGCGGGATTTAGAGGGCGATCGGCTGGAGCTCCAGGACCGGGGGTGGGGGTCAGGGCTTCGCGAAGAGCTCTTACCCTCCGGGCCGCCGTGCCTGCCGTGCGCGCCCGGGGACGGCGAGGTGCTGGCCGGCCGCGCGCGTGGGAGTCGCTCCTTCGTCCTGGGGGCGGCGTAGGCGGATCAGCGGGGTGGGGGCGGGATCTAGCCAGGGGGCGGGGCACGCGAGGGCTTGCTGACAGTGACACGGGGAAAGTAGGTAGTGGGCCAGGGCCTGGTGGGGTCTGTGGAGGAAGGGTGTTCTCTGGGTTGGAAAAAGAGTGATTGGGAAAGAGAGATCCCCAGTGGAGAGAGAGTGTTCCTTTGGAGGGAGGGACTGATGGAGCGCAGTGCGGGGACCAGCGTGTCCGTGGGGAGTGGAAACTAGTAGGGGGAGGAGAACTCAGTGGGGAGGCAGCGTGGGGAGCGCAAAGCTCAGTGGGGAGGTGGCCATGGCGGTGAGCGGTGCTCACCGTTTCCCGTGTCCGCCGTGGCCTCGCTCAGAGCCTGGTTCCGGCCCGGGATCCGGGGCATCGCCGCCCGAGTCGCTGCTGGAGCGCGCGCGGCTCAGCGAGCGCGAAGAATCGCGGGGTGGCGCCGGCCGTGCGCGCCGGCGACCCCTGCGGCGGGGCGCGGAAGCCGCGGACCGCGATCGTCGCCTCCGTCTCCTTCGCCTCCGCCGCCTGGCTGCCCCGCACGCCGTGCGACCTCCGCGGCCCTGCGATGAGGGCGCCGAGCGTGGACTCGGGCTGTCCTTGCCCCGCGTGGGCGACGTGGGTGCAGCGGCCACTTCCTTGTCGCGGGCCCTGGGCGAGGGCGGGCTGGGCTTCTGACAGGGAGAGAGGCAGAGAGGGCACGGAGGGGCGGAGAGAGACAGAGACGGGCAAGGATGGGCCGGGGAGTCAGTGCAGAGAAGTGGCGATGGAGAGATGGAGACACAGAAGAGGAGGAGGCGGAGAGGAGAGGCAGGGACAGAGCCAGGGGGAAGAGAAGCAGAGAAGAAAGATCGGAAGCAAACAGGACAGAGCCAGAGAAAGAGCGAGAGATTGGGTGAGAGAGCGGGCGGGCGGGTGGGGTGGGGGGAGAAAAGGAGAGAGGGCTTTCACCGGGCCCGGGCCGCGGGCTGCCAGTCCCGGAGCATCGCGCACACGGTTCCCCGCGCCTGCCCTGCCTCTGCCTCTCCTGAGTGTTCACTTTCTAGCCTCAACAGTGCAGCTCATGCAAAAGGTTCTCGGCATGCAAAACACAAGAGGGACGGAGAGGTAGGGTGGGGACTGCAGGGGAGGGGGGGCTCCAGGACGGGTACCAGGGCTGGCATTGCCCCCCGCGTGGGATGGACGATTCCCGGCAAAGAGAAGAGAGAGGGCGGCACCGGGAGGTCGGGCCAGGGCCAGCCCACCAGGCCAGGCCCCCCAGCGCAAGGGGTTGGGGCAGAGGGAATGGAGGGGTCACACGGCACACAGATGGGGTGGGGGCGGGGCGGGGTAACAACTCAAAACTGAACCGAAGAAAGGGAGGAAAAAACAGAAAAACAAAAACAAAAACTCCAAAAAAACAAAAATCCACAAATGTCATTAGATACCAAAATCAAAAACAATGATCTTCCGGGAAACCTGACATTTTTTTCTGTTAATATTTTTCTTTCTTCTGTGGCCCTGCAGAGAGCTCTGGAGCTGTCAGGAGCACCCGACTGTCTTTCTGTTTCTCTCTTTTCTTTTTTTTTTTTTTTTTTTTTTCCTTTTTTTTAAGTTCTGATTTTTTTTAAGTCCCTCTTGGTTAACGTCCACTTACCAATAAAGTGGCACTTCCTCCTTTAGTAGGTAAGGTGTGTAAGAGAAGGGAAAAGTGTGGTAGCATAAGTTCATCATTAGATTCACAAAAATGCAAGAGAGATAGAGAGAGAGAGAGAAAAACGCAACCACCCCATTCTTGGCCTGAAAGGAGGCCATGCTGCCTCTGCCTGGGAGGATTAGCAGAACCCAGCTCCTGGAGCCTGAGCTGGTACCTCTTGGCTGAATGCCAGATAGAGATGCCTTTTTTTTTTTTTTTTTTAATCCAAAAGTGGAATTAGGACACAGGAATCACAATACCAAAAACTGGAAAGGGCAGGTGGTACCATCCAAAGGATCCTCACACTACCTCACCAAGGGACCTCGCCCAAGTCACTTCCCCAGTGTGGACCTCAGTTTCCCCATTCACAAAGAGTGGGCTGGCTTTTGCTTCCTGATGTCTCTTTAAGGGACAAATATTCCAGGATTCTCTGCGTGCTCCCTGACCACCCTCCTCTTCCCTCTCCCTGCAAGGAACTGACCCTTCCTCCTGTCTTAGGCCCCCATCTAATAAGAGTTGATGACATTTGTCTGTTTATAGTTCTGATCTCCATCTCCCCAATCACCAACAACTTGATTTTGATCATCTCCAGGGCAGATCTGGTGTCTGATCCAGCTCTACAACCTCAGTTTAGCACAGAACTTTTTTGTTTTTCTTTGATATGGAGTCATGCTGTGTTGTCCAGACTGATGAACTCATGATCCTCCTGCCTCAGCCTCCACAGCAGCTAAGATTATAGGCATGCATCACTTGGTTGGCATTAGCATAAAATTGGATACCTAGTAAGACCTCAATACTGTTTGCTGAGGAAGAAAGAACTACCCTCATAGGGGCCAAGGCCAACCAAAAGCTGGTTGGGGTTTCAACAACTTGTTTTGGTAGGCTTTGTTTCTTCTCAGGGCACATAGCTGCCAGGAATGGAAGAAGCATTGTACTCTTGGCATGGCCCTGGGTGCTTCAGTAGGGCAAGTTGTGCTCAGATCTCCACAAACCCAGTTAGTGCCTCTGTGGAGCTGGAAGTGACTCCATTGGTAGAAAAGCACAGGCTTGTGATTGGTGGCTGAAGCAGCCAATGAGCACCAGCCATAGCTGGTGGGAGCCACTGTCCAAAGCCTATGGGGCCATAAAGACCTCTTCCTGAAGAGCCCTGAGCTTTCAACCTGGCAGAGGTAGCAGAAGTGAGGACAGCGGATATAGCATGGTGGTGAGGTGCGCTCTGAGCAGTCTTGACATTCCTGCTCCCCAGCTCACCTCTCGCTGTATGTCAGGGAGCCCAAGGCTAGGTAATCAGCTGTGGTCTCTCTGAGATGGCAGTTTCATTCTTGTTGGCAAACTCTTAGCTGACCCCCAGCAGGTGGCCAGTGCCTCTCTGCTCCAAAGCCTTGGCCCTATGTTCTCTCATTCAGCGCTTTTCCCTCAGGAGGAGGCACATGAGAAGATCCTCTGGGATCCTCACATTTGCGGTGTCAGTCTTATGTCCTGGGTAGTCAGAATGCCAAGCAAACTTATCAGGTGGGAGCTCAGGAACCAATGCACTAGTGGGCACAGGACTCCTTAAGAAGTCAGCAAGGCAAGTGGGCAGAGGCCACCCTTAGGACTCAGGACCTGGATGTGAGCCAGGATTACAATCCAACTTCATTACTGCTATTGCTATTGTTGGTGCTGGAGACTGAACCCAGCCCTTTGAACATATTAAGGAAGCACTCAAGCCCTGAGTGGTACCTCCACTTTCATTTTTATTTTACTTTGAGGCATGGCCTCTCCAAATTGACCAGGCTAGCCTAGAACTCAGGATACTCCTGCCTCAGCCTCCTGAGTAGCTGAAATTACACACTTGCGCCACTGTGCCTGGCTGACCCATCAACTTCAGACTCAGGGAAGGAGCCAGCAGTGGGGGAAGGAAGACCAAAGCCATGATGTCCCTTCTGACAGTCACACAGAGCCCTGCTGATTTCCACTGTCTAGGGGCTGGGAGTGAGGTACAGTTTTAGGAGTAGAAAGGGTCTGCACCAGAAAAGGTGGACGGCTGAACACCTCCATCGCGGTACTGCTTCCAAGCATTAAGGTCTAAGATCATTGTCCAGGGTTGGCCTCTTCCTGCTTGGTCTTTTGCTTTGCAGCCCAAGCTCCTTTCCAACTTCCCTCTCACCATCTGGCCTGCCCTAGTGTAGCATGCTAATAGTTGGCAAAGACAAACAGCCTGGGTTCAAGGTGATTCAAGTTTGCTACACCTCATAGAAGTGACCTGCTCTGGGCCTCTGTTTCCCCATTAGTAAAATGGGGTCTTTGCTGGGCTGGTCTGTATAGTGATTAGAAGGCATGGCGTCTTCAAGGACTAATAGGGTCAGAGCAGTACAGGGAGGCCTGGGCGCCACAGGAGTGTTGCCCAAAGAAGACAACGGATGGGAGGAAAGTGCCACTGGGTAGGGTAACAGAGCCTTCCCTTGGGGAAAGACTCTTAGAACCAACCTCATGTCCTTCTCCACTTGTGTCTCTAAAAGTTCTCAAGAAAAGGGTCTCCATGATCCTGCCAGAGGCTAAGCTTCCTCCTCAGTTTGGCTGGGTCCCATGTTCTCAGGATTGCGGGAAGATCAGAGGCCAGACACGGATTTCATAGCTGGGCAGAAATTGTGGTGGCCACAGATCTCCCATTGTCTCCTCCAGGAAGTCTGTCCTTTGTGACTCTAGTTCCTCTTTCCTAGACCCCAGGCTTCCTACCCAGCTTGGCTGGTGCCTGTGGCCTCCGACAGGCCAGCTCTCTTTCCTCAGTTCTTGGTTTTCTCTCCGGGAGCCTCTCCTGATTTCTGGGCTGAGTCAAGTTCATTCTTTGGTGACCCCACATGAAATCTGAGCCAGGCCATGCCAGAGCTGAGCAGCTGCCACCAGCAGCTGCCCCATTTTACTAATGGGGTATTATCATGCTATACAGAAGGGCAGCTGCCACCACCACGTCCAGCTGTCCCCATCACCCTGAGAGATCGTTGTGAGTCTTTCAGCAAGGCTGTTGGGGCCATGAACCCAAATCAGCCTCGCCCATCTCCGGCCACACAGGAGCTGAGTCTGCCTGGTGTGTGTGTGTGTGAATGAATGGAAGTGTGAGTGGTGGTGAGGGACCTTGCCTGCCTCTGAGCCTTGCTCCCTGGAGCCCTCAGCCCCTTGGCACCACCTGCTAGTTTATATTTTTCCCCTTGGCTCACATACCAAAATGTTGAGGGTTAAAAAGGGGGAAAGTCAGCAGAAGGATGTGGGAAGGAACAGCGTTCTCCTCTGGCCCTGGTACTCTGAAGTACCAGGACAGGGACAAGAAAGCACTTGGGCTCAGAAAGCTACTCGTCTGTCACTGTTTGCAGTCCCATCTGTGTGGCCCCAGAGCCTCTAGACCCCATCAACCTGAGACCCTTGCCCCAAGGCTAGGAGAGCCTTGCCCTCCTGGAGACCAAGTTCCTGTCTCTCTCCCAGCACAACCAAGACAGGAATATTCAGGGTGGGTGAACTTCCTCATCCCTAGAACCTGCTCTGGGGTTATCATCGGGTGAGGAAGAGGAGCTGGGCCTCCTCCGCCCAAAAATGGAGACCTGATGAGATGCTACATTTCTGTAGCTGGCCCCTAGGGGTCAGGATGTAGTTAGTAGAGCAGGGATGGGAGGTCAGACCCTGTCCACAAAAGCTACTTCTGACTCCAGTACCCTCACTGTAGCCAGATTGGCACTGGGCTAGGAATCCTTAGGACCTAAATCTGGTTCCACCTCAATGCCCTGAGGGACCCTATTATTGTCTCTTCTAGATTCTCCTGCACCAGTGCCACCATTAAACCACTCAAAGTCCGATGACAGAAGGATGTTAGAGGGCTGAAGCAGCCCCGTCCAGCTTAGGAAGTGGCCTAGGTAAGGGGCAGGAAGCTAAGTGCCACTCCATCCTGCAGAGACCTCGCCAGGGTCCCTCATAGTCCAGCATCTGCTCCCGGCCTGCTCACTCCCCGATGTCACCCTCCACTCCGCT